CGAGGAATGCCAGCGAGTTATTTTAGGCCTTCCCATTCCCAACCCTCCCCATTCTACAGAGACACATTTACGCGACGTAACGAAATAATGAAGAAGGGCGCCCTTTGCCGCCACGACAACACTCTTGACTTTCGACGATGAAAAAAAATCTTTTCTCTACAAACTCTCCCTTACGCTCCTCCCTTTTCTCCTCTCTTCATCCCCCGTTTCTCTTTCCTTTATCCGCCCCCTTCCCCCCCTCCTTTCTCTCTCGGTCTCTTTTATGATTCCTGAAAGAATACCGGAGCACACGCTAAAGGGAATACTTTACGATGATGAAGAACGTCGTGACATTTTCCGCGCATAAATACTTTTTCCATTAGAAGGGGACATAGAGCAGAAACGTGAGTCCTTGTTCTAGGAGCCTCTTTGTCCCCGTAAACAGCCTTTTTAAAGCCATGGTTATGAAAAAGTTACGGGTTATCTATGATGACGTAAATGACGTAAATGGGTCATATTTTCGAGCACTTTCCAGCTAAAAGCCGATGAGATGCAATTAGCAGAATTTGGATCTTTATAAAATTTTAGGAATACTACTAACGTTTATTTTAAAAAAAAAAAAAAAAAAAATTAAATAATAAAGCCTTGTCTTTCCTCATCAAGATGTTTCCGAGAATTCCTGACTCGACGGGAAGGAAGGACGCCCACTCTCCAAAGCATAATGTTTTTTTATATATTGTGCTTCTAATATTAATATGCGACTTCTCTTCTCTTCCGCTTGACTTTCCGTTACGAAGGAAGTCTTGTATCCGATATTCTCGCGGCACGTTTTTTTTACGTCAAGAAGTATCTTATTCTCAGCTTTCGAGTGAAGAATGAAATTATGAAGGAGAGAGAAGTAAATCGTAGATAACAGGATAAGCATGAAATTTTCCCGTCATCTGTTACGAATTAAAAACTAACAGCGGAAACGGAAATGTAAAATTCACAATTGCTCAAAATGCCGCATGAAGCATAACAAAATTTTTACAGCGCTATGGCGCTGAAACATCAGTTATATTAACCATTTAAAAGCAACAAAAATCTTAGAAAAATAATTTGGAAATTTTTATCTAATAATCTTACTATAGACGTTATTGTTCTAAATTGAGTGATAAATGTAATGTATAATTTTCTTCTATTTAATCTGAATTTTGTTAAAAAAAAATCAAATCAATCGAGCTTACGTTACGTTAATTTGGTGCGTAAACTAGTAAGTAGTAAGCCCAAGTTTCATCAATAACGAAACTCTTTCATGTTTACAGAAGCAGTGAGCTAACTAAACTTCTAAGCACAATAACAATATCAGTGCGACGCTACTCTGTGTTTTCGCTACATCATTGATACAAAGCAAGAAACTCTAGCTAACACGCAGTTAATATTAATGTTGTTGCAATCGCCTCTTGAATATGTTAATTAACTCTGAAATGGTAACATGGATTTCTGTATGTAAACTGTACAATGTAAATAAAACATTTTAACAGATTGCCGATGGGCTATGAAGTTTGCCGATTCAATATAATGGAGAAATTTCCGTAGTCTGTTATCACTGTAAAATCGTAATAGGGGTGATCTATTTTCAAATTAGTCAGCAATTATTTAATACACAATTGAACATCACTGCGTTTTGTTACAGCAATTAACAATTTGCCTCAGTAGCGACCAATCTAATGTTATTGTCACTTAATATTTCAATGTTTCCTGTCGAATAATAATTTGCGCAATAACTGGTTTATAGTCTTTCGCAAAATAATTTAAAAAAATATTTGCAAAAGAATAGGATTAAAAATAGCGCAAAAATTTTTTTCAAAATTATTCTCCAATTTTTATACACGATAATTTTGTATTAAATTAGCGTTTGTTGTCTGCAATGTGTGATAAATGAGAAATGTTATCACATGTTATACAAAATGTCATTGACTTTTTTGCATTATTCCTCCGACTTTAAAAGTGCAAAGTTATATTTAACTTAAAACAAAAAAAAACACGAAAAATTCTGCGTGTCATTTTTTAAAAAAATTTCGCAGTGTAAGAATAATAATAATAATAATAATAAAAAAAAAAAACTCACGTATTTTCCTTTTGGTCGCCGTTGGTCGAGTGCGACGGGGACGGCTGGGTCTGTTGTTTGGAGTAGGGATGGTGGTGCACCACGTTGTTGTTATTATTGTTGTTGTTATGCATGTGCACCTTGTTGGCGTTGCTGTCGGTGGGAGAGCCCGGCGAGATTTTACCCGCCAGAGCGTTCAGTGACTGTAGCATTTTCATGGGAGTCCGTTTGGCGACCGGTTGACGGTGCCCCCTTCGCTCGCTCTCGTTTATTCTTGAGGAAGACAGGATTATTACACGCTTGCGGTTTGAAGGCGTCAACCCTCAAACTCTACTGTACGTGCGGGAAACAAAGCTAGCCTCTAGGATCTCTAGGGCGAACTGCAAACGGAGCACGGTTACACTCTCGATTCACGAATCACGTTCGTGTTCGGGAAACGAGACCCGAAATCTCGACGGGGAGCAAGCACACACTTATCACGTGAATTAAACACACCGAGAACACAAAAACACGCGGCCGAGAAGGCTGGTTGGCCGCCTGGAGTCTTGTTCAATTCGTATCGAGCGGCGCCTGATAGGGAGAGATCGATGCGATCGATTTTTGTGATATTTTAGAAACGCCAGTTCGGATATTGGAGTATCTTTCGAGATCCGATGTTGACACGATCCAGCAGTGGAGGCGAATTTGAAATCCTGTGGACAAGTATCGGAGATACGGATAAGAATCTTATCTCTACGTTCACGGAATTGATAGTGATATGTGTGATTGTGATCGGAGTACGCGATTCATCGAATTTCATTACAACCTGCGTTTACTTTCAATTTAAGATTTATGCAAACTTAACGCAATACGTCTGATTGGCGGATGACTGATTCTGTTAATAATAATTAAAAAATATAACTAAATTAAATATCTCGTCTATGTGTTTAAAAATATTTATTTTTGTCTCCTTTTCATATTCCATATCTTTAAATAATTATACCGTTAATAAATAATAAAATTTAATTAAAGTATTTTATCAATTTCACAAAAATGTAATTTGTGTTCAGGAATTAAACTAAAATAATGAAATTAATTTCCTGAATTTATGTAAAAATATGATTAAATTTATATAAAAAAATTTAGATCCATTTAAAAGAGAATTATCATCTACATTATTATATTGTAATTTAACAAAATTTAATTTCTCTCTCTCTCTCTCTGTCTGCAATTATGTACGCAAAAGAAATTTTATACAATTAAATATTTAGAAATAAAAATATATTAAAAAAGAAAAATACGTTTTCCTTAATTTAAAGTTTCTTTAATTTCTAATGACTGTTGATAAAAAAAACATTTTATTAAAAAATATCAAAAATGATATAAAAATAATGTACGATTCGTCTATAATTATTCATAAGTGTAATCTAATTTTTGATATTGTCGTACTTTTTAAATGTTAATTACACGTTCGGCATTGTTCGTGCGCAAAGGCGAAGGAAATGCACGGAGACAAACTAGGGAACAGTGGACGACACAGTGGAAAAAAAATTGTCAAGTGAACGCGTGCGTTGTAAACTGCTTTAAAACAGGTCAATTAAAAGTTTAAGTTAATTAGAAACTCAAGTCATGTACAATGCACGAGCGAGAGTGGGGGAGGGGGAAGAGAGAGAGAGAGAGAGAGAGAGAGAGAGAGAGAGAGAGAGAGAGAGAGAGATGGAGCGCTTAGCCTTTCGTGGCTTATGCCGTAAGCGACAGCGAAAGAACGAAGAGAAAAAAAAAGAACGGAACGAGAGAAGTGGAGGGGGGGAGAGGAGGAGGGGCCGGAGAAACCGTATCTACGCTGCGCACCTCTAACCCTTTTGTCCCGTACACATTTTTGCCTCTTCGGTTCTCTACTCAACTTTCCCCTCACCTTTTCTCCTCACTTTTCCTCGCTCGCTTTTCCTCCCGCACCCTCCAAATGCGCGTCGATGCTCTTTGTCGCCGGCCACTTAAAGCGCCAAAGTGTCAAATTAAAAACTCAAGGCACCCGTGGAAAAACGGCGATTAATCGCTCTCGCGGCAGAGATTGCCCGTTTATCGTTCTTGCTCGTACACGGGACTTGTAGCTCTCTCTTCTTGGCCGAGGTCGACCTTTCCCGTGTCTCTTGGATCCTCGCGAAATCCAGCCGGACACAGCCTGGGTCGGAAGCGGATACTTTCAAGATACCCCTCCTCGGAGCTACGGAATGACACGTGAACTGCGATATCACCGTGATCTGAGCGGCGTGACGATCTCGTCGACGGCACCTGAGCACTATAACTGACGACTCGACGAGCGCAGTTGCCGACCATCGTATCTCCGGATAAGCCTTATCGGTACCCAAAGACCCCACCCTTCATCCGTGGAACACATCCCTCACGTGTGTGTATGTATGCGTGCGTGCGTGTGCGTGTGCGTGTGTGTGTGTGCGTGTGCGTGTGTTTATGTTTTTGTTTTTTATAACACTCGCGTATTTCTCTGTACTTCTCTCGCAATTGTATAAATCTATTTGCCTGCTGCGTATTTTTTTTTTTTTTTTTCCAATTACGACGCACCTACATCAGACACCGTTAAACATCGGACATGTCACCAGCTTATTCCCAGATATCGTCGACGAGGTGGTCTCTCTGGAGTAGCGTGCGATCGTTCATGCGCGATTCAGACGCGTCATGACGACACTCGACGTGACGTTTAGGACAGACGAATCGCGGTTAAGGAGCGCGATTCTCACAGGATCCCATAACGATGACCATCTCTCTCTCCCGCGAGATCACTTACGATCCATGAAGAATGAGAAGTCGCGCCGACTTTTACGACGTCGCCATCGTCGTCGATCGTCATCTGCAAAGAATATTATTTATCGGTTAACGATATCTCTTGCCCGTTTAAATACGTCGTTGAAGTCGTCCATTCGGAAATCACGCAAAGTCAAGTACGACGACATTTGCCAGCAATCTTCGATCAAATCATAAGATTTCAAGTTTAAGAAATGAAAAGTGGCGGATAAAATTTATACCCTAAATATTTTTCACAGGCGAAATTAAAATTGAAGACAAATTTTCGCAGAGAAAGATAACACAAAATCAACAAAATCGATCAATCGTTTGGAAAACGAGCCAAATTGAGAGAACGAATTCAACTTAATTAATACCTTCACCTTATTATTTACACACGTGTGAATCACCTCGGTGAGGGTGAGGAAATTAGGACGCGCGGATTCTAAAATTGCTTAGCAGCGCAGCGGTTAAAAAGCGAAAGAATGTTCGTCAATATTTTCTCACTACCAGGTCGAGGCGATGAAGCAGGCACCGACCGGTGTTCTCGGAGATTAGATAAGACGTGGAACGACGCCTCGCTGCGCTGTGTGTGACTTGCACACAACGAACTTGCCGCTGCCCTCACAAGACTCACTGCCTCACGTCTCGGCGTGATGCATTTGTGGGTGCAACCGCGCGCGAGAAATATTTGACATTTATTGTGTATAAGTAAGTGCCCGACGAAGTGCGCGTCAAAAAGCGGCTAAAAGCGGAAACGTTTAGTGGATACGGCCTTACGGCCGCTGTGTTTGTCATAAATTGCGACATTATTGCCCCGAAAAATCGGCCGAGTGACACACACTCGTCGCTCGCCTTCAAAATTACACTTCCGTCATTCCGAGCGCGGTTTTTTTCAATGCGGCAAAACTTTAAAACGTTGTCTAAGGTTATCGAGCGA